AAAGATGTGCACTACCACCACCCCTTGTAAATACCATTTTATACAAATGATACCGAAACCTGAGAATACAACAGATCTTTTCATATTGAGCTGCTTAGAGAACCCTGCTAAGTGTATCACTTTGACTTTATCCTCCTGTAGGAATATACTCTAAATCATGCCATGTGTAAATAACAAGTTTTATTACCTCTTTTCCAACATTATGTCTTGGTTCTCCTTGCCTTCATTTATGATTATGACTTCCGGTACAATATTCAGTAGCAATGTGTTGTGGGTATCTGTCTCTTTATTAAGTCAAGGACATTTTTCAATAATTCACCAGTTGTGTATGTTTTTCAAATACTCTCTTCCAAGTTAAGGAAGTTTTAGCAAGAATTAGTGTTAATTTTTAAAAAAAACCTTCTAAAATTTTAAATTAAATCTCTTTATACTGGGTGCTAAATATTAAGTATATTTCCTGCCTCTATTTAGATGGTCATATATTTTTTCTTGTTTGTTCAATCAATGTACTGAGTTGCATGAGAATGTAAGATAATAAACCAGCTGTGAATTCCTAAGATACGTATAACACATTTGTAATGTTGGTCCCAATACTTTAATTAGATTCATTAGATTCAGTTTGCTGATATTTTGTTTGAGATTTATGCATCTATGCATAAATATATTGACTGGTCAGGTCTTAATTAGATTTTAGAATGATGATTGTTCCAGCTTCCTCAATTAAAAATAGAAGCAAATCCGAATTTCCATCTCATTAATGTAACAGACACCCTCAACACTCAGGGAATTGCAAGGGTTTTTGGAGTTTTGTACTAAGAATCTGGAATAAAGACCAGGTTGTTCTTTATCACACACACACACACACATACACACACACACACACACACACACACACACACACACACACACCCCCCACATATACCTACCACACAAAAACACACACACACACAGACACAGACACAAAGGAGGATATACTAAGGTTAAGAAATAGGCTCTCATAGCTCCTCTGAAATTCATAGACAAACTTGGGTAAGAGTTAATGTCATTGTCCCAAGCCCAAACTCTGCAGGACAGGGCAGGCTAGAAAAAAATGGGTACACTTTTGTGTGCTTGAGTCTTGTGGAAGGATTCTTTCCTCTTCAGGGAGTTCTGGCCTCTGCTCTTAAAGCCTTCAGCTGATTGGGTGATGCCCACTCACAGTATGGAAGGCAATCTGCTTTAAAGTGTACTGATTTTAAATGTTAATCATATGTAAAATTACTGTCAAAGAAATGTTCTAGACTAATATATGGCCAAACAACTGGGCTCCATAGCCTAGCCAAGTCGGCATAAATTAACCATTACACTCCTTTCTCTTGCTTAGATATATTATTATTATTTTTAAAAAGGTGTGTTGTGTGTGTGTGTATAAAATTGTGTGTTTGTGTAATTGTGAGTGTGAGCATGAGCACAGGTGCCAGCAGAAGCCAGAGGTGCTGGATCCCCCTGGAGCTGGAGTTACAGGGGATTGTGAGTGGTGTAATATGGATGCTAGGAATCAAACTTGGGACCTCTGCAAGAGCAGTATGTGCTGTTGTTAACCACTGAACCATCTCCCCAAGCCTAATTCTTCGCCTCTTTTTTTTTTTTTTTTTTTTTTTTTTTTTTTTTGGTTTTTCGAGACAGGGTTTCTCTGTGTAGCTTTGCGCCTTTCCTGGAACTCGCTTTGGAGACCAGGCTGGCCTCGAACTCACTGCCTCCCGAGTGCTGGGATTAAAGGCTTGCGCCACCACCGCCCGGCTCGCCTCTTTTTTATCTGGAAAGAGTTTCATAACTTAAATAGTTCTTACGTTTAGGTTTTCACTCCATCTCCAGTTTGTTTTTAAATATGATATGAAGTAAAAGGCCCAACTTCATTCCTTTACATGGGGTTATCCAGTTGCCTCAGCACCATTGGCTGAAGCTTATTCTTTTTGCATTGAATGGTCATAGTGCCTATGTAGAGAATCAGCTGACTTTTAATATTAGATTCCTTTGATCTTAAAGGTCTATTTTTAAAATAATTTTTTTGGTTGTTTTTAGAGACAGGGTTTCTCTATGTAACAGTCCTGGCTGTCCTGGAACTCACTTTGTAGACCAGGCTGTCTTCAAACTCACAGAGATCTGCCTGCCTCTGCTTCCCGAGTGCTGGGATTAAAGGCGTGCACCACCACCACCGTACTCTATAGGTCTATTCTTAAACCACAACTATTTTTGAGTACTGTGGTTTTGTACACTGTTTTTCTTTTTCTTTTTGGTTTTTCAAAACAGGGTTTCTCTGTGTAGCCCTGGCTGTCCTGGAACTCACTCTGTAGACCAGGCTGATCTCAAACTCACAGAGATCCACCAGTCTCTGAGTGCTGGGATTAAAGGTGTGTACCACCACCACCTGGCTCTGTACAAAGTTTTAAAATCAGAAAGTATGGGTCTTCTGACTGTTCTTTTTATTTATTTTTTATCTATCTATCTATCTATCTATCTATCTATCTATCTATCTATCTATCTATTATATATACAATGTTCTGTCTGCATATATCCCTGCCTGCCACCATGTGGTTGCTGAGAACTCAGGACCTCTCTAAGAGCAGCCAGTGCTCTTAACCGCTGAGCCATCCCTCCAGCCCTGACTGTTCTTTTTCAAGGTTGTTTTGGCTCCTGAGGGATCTCTGTAATTCCATAGGGATTATTAGGACAGGGTTTTCATTTATGCAAAAAAGGTCACTGGGGTTTGGGTAGGGATTACACAGCATCCCTACAGAATCTATAGATTGTGTTGGTAATGTCATTTTACCATCAAACCTTCTGATCATGAACAAAGGATGTCTTATTTACTATTTACTCTCTACAACAGTGTTTTGTAGTTTTTCCATCTCATGACATGGACACCTCCCAAACACCCCATCTACTAATACCATTACTTTGCGGGTTAGGATTTCAACATATCAATTTGGGGGATAACACTGGACCCAATGTATGTTGGGGGGAGTTCCCAGGTATTTCTATTTTGTTGAGTGTCTTAAAAAAAACAAATAAACCACATGAGTACATGTTTGGTTTTTCTGCACCATTGCTATGACCATGGCAACCCCCACTTTGTGTTATTACTATGGGGTAGTGTATTGACCACTGTGCTATGTTGAAATAGTCCTGCATTATGTAAACATCATTTCACTGTGTGTATCTACTGTATCTGGTACTGTTACACTGCGCACAGTCCCCTCCCTCCCCACTCTCCTTCACTGTCTCCCCACAGTGTCCTTAACTCTTCCAGTCATTTCTACTTTCATGGCATGTTTACATCTGTGAGGTTATGCACTCTATGAAATTAGGACCCACAAAGGAGAAGAATCATTTGATGTTGTCTTTCTGAGGCTGGCTTAGCTGCTTTATAGGAGTTCCTATAAAGCATCCCTTTTCCTGAGAAAACTATGTAACCTTGTTCTTGGTGACAGAAAAAGTCCATTGTGTATACACACACACATTTAACATCCATTCCTCCATTGTTGCACACATAGGTTGGTTCCATAACTCAGTTATTATGTATAGTGCTGCAGGAAACGCTGATGGGCACGTGTCTCTGTCACATTTAACCTCCACACATTCTTTGGATAAATTCCAAACACTCAGACTCATCATCATTCTGTAAGTTCTGGCCAGCCCAGTAGGTGTACTATGTTTATGTTTATTAACAAACTTCTGCACTCTATCTTACATTTTTGAGTAGTTCCACTAAGTACAACTCTAGGTAGGCACTTGCTTTCTTATAACACATTCAAGAATTTATCCTGGGCTGGAGAGATGGCTCAGAGGTTAAGAGCACCGACTGCTCTTCCAGAGGTCCTGAGTTCAATTTCCAGCATCCACATGGTGGCTCACAACCATCTGTAATGAGATCTGGCACCCTCTTCTGTGTACATAATAGATAAATCTTAAAAAAAAAAAAGAATTTATTCTGTTGTTTTCTCATGCCCTATATTTCTAAGAACACGGCAGCTCTTCCCCTTACTGTTCATGCGGATATGCTAACTCTTTTATTCAGGGCCAAGTATTAAGATTCTTCCTCTTCCGTTTTCAGCATTTTTGAATCTACTTAATTCAGCTGTTCTTTGGCTTCTGCTGTCCTAACACTCACATATCAATGCTTCTCAGTTCTCACGAGTTTCTAGTTATTAAGTCAAAGAACAGACTGCTTGGAAGCAGTTTTTAGGGATGAGGAGATCTGTCAGTCAGTAAAGTACTTGCTTTACAAGCCTGAGGACCTGACTTCCATCCCTAGAATTGTGTAAGAGATCTGTGCTCAGTGGCACACACTTGTAATACCAGCCCTGGGCTGGGGGTAGAGACAGGCATATCCTTGGGGCTCCCCGCCCAGACAGTTCAGATCTTGACAAGCTCCAGGCCAATGAGAGACCTTGTCTCAAAAATCAAGGTGGGTGGCACCTGAGGAATGATGCCTGAGGCTGACCTCTGGCCTCCATGTGCACATGCCACATAAGCAGGCACACCCCTGCACACTTGTGTAACCTTGTGCACATGCACAAACAAAAAAATTACATTATTTTTCACACTTGAATTCTTTCATAAAACTTGAGATTTTTTTTTTTGTATTTTATGTATATGAGGATTTTGCCTGCAAGTAAGTGTACATGTGCACCACATGTTGCCTGGTACTTCCAGGGGTCATAAGAGATCAGATCCTCTGAAACTGGAGTTGAAGTTATAAGCCACCATGTGGGTGCTGGGAACCGAACCTGGGTCCTCTGTAAGTGTAGCCCCTGCTCTTAGCGGTTGAACCATCTCTCCAGCCCCTCGACATTTGAATTCTCAACCCACTTAGAGCCCATCTCTGAATCCCATATTGAGAAATGATCCACTTTTATTTTTCTCACTGTTTGCCACTGTCTTAGTTTCTATTCTGTCGTTGTCACAGAATGCCCTAAAAAAAGAGCCTTAACGGGGGAGGGGGGTTCACTTCAGCTCACCATCAACCAAGGATATGATCCATTGGTCCATCGTGGTAGAGGAGGTCACAGCTGCAGGGGCCTAGGCTAGCGAGTCACGTTGCATCTGCAGTAAAGAAGCGGAGATGAATGATGAGTCCAAACTGTAGCTCACTTCTCTTTCCCCACTGACACAGTCTAGGATCCCAGTCAGAGAATGGCGCCACCACAGTGGCGCCCCAGGTATGGTTATCAAGATGGTTCCCCATGGGCATGCTCAGAGGCACAGGTCCACATGATTCTAGATTTTTGCAAGTTGACAGCACTTATCACAGCTATGGAATCATTTCTTGTCACTATGTGGAGCTCTCTTCAATTAAGCTGCCATATGTAAGTGAATTTATTTCAGAGCTGGATTTTGAGGGGGTTTTTTTGTTTGTTTTGAGACTGGTTTCTCTATATAGCCCTAACTGTCTTGGAACTCACTATTTATTTGAGGCTGTCCTCAAATACAGAGAAATTCTTCTGCCTCTGCCTCCTGATTATTTCAGAACTTTTTTGTTTTTAAATCTCACCTGCCTGCTCCTGTTCTTATGAACTCGTTTTATGATATGTCTTAATTTTTGGTCCAGTAAATTGCTCCCTTACACTTCTGTTTGTGGTTACTTTTGATTATTAGCAGACCTTTATTTTCATTTATTTACTTATTTATTATTTACATCCATGGTATTCATTAATTACACTCATGATATTAATTACATTTGTGGTATTCATTGATTACATTTGCAGTATTCATTCAATAACTGTATTTATGATATTCATTAATTACATTAATTGTATTAATTTATTACATTCATGATATTATGTCCTGATACTACTGTCCATTTGTGGGACTTTTCCATCACACAAAACAGAGATTCTGTACTTAGGAAATCATTGCTCTATATTCCTTTCTTCTCCATCTTGAGATAACGTCTAATCTCTCTGTCTCTATGAAATTGTATATTCTATATATTTCATGTAATACAATTCTATAGTATTTGTCCTTTTTTTGAATGTAAAATCATTTTATGTACAACTGCAGGAGAAATAATACACAGATAGCTTGAACATAAAAACAGGTTATAATTCAAGTCCAGGGTTATTTTAAACAAGTCAGTTCTTTTCATCTACCATACTGGCCACAGGGATTGAACATAGGTTGCCAACGCTTGGCAACAGGTGCCTTCAGCCACTGAGCCATTTTGCTGGCTCCCACATGGCATCTTACCTGTTTAGTTGACTGTTTTCCTTACTAATGCAAGTCTCTAGAGCACAGGACTCATATTTACCTCTAGACTCTCAGGACTACACATAATAATCTAGGACTTAGGTTTGTTTAATCACTTACTAATTTGCATGTGGGTGCACGCATGGACAAATGGCATGCACGTGGAGGTGAGCACAACTTGTGCAAATTGCTTTTCTCCTTTTACTATGTGGGCTCCAGAGATGGGACTCATGTCATCGGGATTGGTGTCAAACACCTGTGCCCACAGAGCCATCTTGCTGGCATCTTGCTGGTCCCTTAGGATATGTAATCCATTATTCACAACTAAATAAATGAGATGGTAACTAATGATATGTTTGCAGATGACAACTGATAAAACATATCGCTATCCCCTAGATGAGATGAGATGTGTTGTCAATAAAATCCCCAAACTAGAACGTAACCCTGACTTAGTTTCTCTTTGTGTCTTTCTAGACTTCCAAGCAACAAAACAGATCTCTAAAACAGATCCGGAAACTCAGAGGTAAGAATGATTCTATCCTTATGGGTCAGCTCAAGGCTGATGACTGATCAACTGTGGACCTGCTTTAGGACTCTTTCCACTTGAAGTGGAAGAAAGTTGAAAAAGAGGGTGTGCCTGGAGAGTACGCCCATCTCTCTGACATCTTTCCTTCCAAAGTCAGTCAGACAGCTCCATCCTCCATTGTTTCCTTTCCTCGGGCTTCTCTGTCCCTACATCTTCATGTAGAGCCCAAAGTATGGGAGAGGAGAATGGACAAAGATGAACTACCAAGAGTTTGGTGCAGGAGGTCCATTACCTTTATTCCTCTACCACAGATGTGGATGTGGGACAGACATCTTTGAAGGGGAAGATGTATCGGGATCTCTGTGTTCCCCCAGCGCTGCGTTCCCAGTCCGGGCTTCTCCTGGGTCACTTCTAGTACATGACGAAGACAGGATAGTATGCTTAAAAAGCAAAACAAAACTCGATAGCTGTGCTGTACCACTCATCAGCGTCACGATGGGTGTGACTTCATCTTTGCTCCCTTAATTGTTAAATGAAGGGGGTTCTGTTAGATGACGTCAGCAGTCACTATGCTAACAGTTTCTTGGCTCCTGTTACAGATTCACAGTTGGAAGAAACAAAGATGAACGGCAGTATAGCTGATCTGACACGGTAAGCAGAGTCTGTCTACAGACTGTCCTGTGACAAATACCCATGCTGACTAGTTTCCTGTCAACTTGATACAAGCTGCCATCATTTTGGAAGAGGGAACCTTAATTGCCCCCCCCAGATTGCCCTGTGGGCAAGCCTGTGGTACACTGTAGATGTAACCAACCGTCTTATTAAATAAGAAACACAGAACCAATGCAAAGAAGAAAGCCAAGAAGTCAGAGCTAAGAGCAAAAACCTTACCCGTCCTCCTGTGGTGGTCCTACCTCTCCGAAAGAGAGCTACTTCCTGTGTTAAAGTCTTTATATAGACTTTATGCTCTGCCTTCTCATTGGTTGTAAACCCAACCACATGACCGCCTCGTCACTGCCTGTCTGTACAGACCTCCAGGTCTTCTATGGTTGGTATTGAGATTAAAGGCGTGTGTATCCAATGCTGGCTGTATCCCTGAACACAAAGAGACTTACCTAGCTCTGCCTACCAAGTGCTGGGATTACAAGCGTACACCACCACTGTCTGGCTTTCCTATGGCTTGCTAATAGCTCTGACTCCCAGGCAACTTTATTTATTAACATACAAATAACATTTTAATACAAATAAAATATCACCATAGTATATTTTCATTCTTTTCTTTCTTTCTTTCTTTCTTTTTTTTTTCAATGTATAACCCTGGCTGTCCTGGAACTCGCTCTGTAGACCAGGCTGGCCTTGAACTCACCTGTCTCTACCTCCCGAGTGCTGGGATTAAAGACATGTGCCACCATGCCTGGCTGCATTCTGTTAATTGAAGATTGATGTGGGAAGGTCCAGCTCACTGTGGGTGGTACCACGCATGAGCTAGTGGTCTCAGGGGGTACAAGAAGGCAGGGTGAGCAAACCATGAAAGCAAGCCAGTAAGCAGCTCCATGGCCTCTGGATCAGCTCCTGCCTCTTGGATCCATCTTGCCCTGAGTTCCTACCCTGACTTCCCTCAGCAATGGAGTATGACCTGAGTGTTGTAAGCTGAAACAAACCCTGTCCCCCCAACTTGTTTATGTTCATTGGGGTTCATGACAGCAATAGAATTCCTACCCGTGACACCATCTTCATTGTGAATGCTGTACGTAAAATACCTGGCACTCTGACTTCATTTACTCTGAGAGCAATTGCCTCCTTCCTAAATTATCTTTCTATTCCTACTGCAATGTCACTTCAGTTCCACTGACATATTCTGCTGTGTCCAGTATTTCAGGACTTCCTACCGACTGGACCCAGGAATATGTACTCTGGTCAATAGACAGGAGTCTTGGACGGATCCTCCAACATCTGGATAATGCAAGGTCAGGAAACAGAGTCACAAGGCAGGGGGCTGAGTGGGGGCGGGGGGAGAGGGGGGAGGAGAAGAAGAAGAAGCAGAAGAAGAAGAGAAGGAAGGAAGGAAAGAAAGTAAAGGAAGGAGGTAAAGGAAAAAAGTTAGTTTGAAAAGCAGTGGAGAACTATTTTGTGAGCTTTATTTGTTTTATGTTTTATCTGTATGGATATTTTTTCCGCAGGTAAGTATGTGTACCACATGCATGCCTGGTGCCCAGAGAGATCACAAGAGGGTATATGATCCCCTGGTACTGGAGTTACAGATGTTTGTGGCCTACCATGTGTGTGTTGGGATTCAAACTTGGGTCCCCTGGAAGAGCAGTCACTAAGTCACTATTCTTAACCTCTGGACTTTTTCTCTAGGCCTCACTGTGTAAATATATGTATATATTTTATTCATTTGTATTTTTTGCATGTGTGCACATAGGTGCCACATCATGTATGTGATGGTCAGAGGACAAGCCACAGGAGTCAGTTCTCTCCTTCCAACATGTGAGTCTTAGGTGTAGCTTGAGTTTTCCTGCCTGGCCCACAGTCAGGACAAATCTCTCACCTGCCAGTCCCACAGCCGCTCAAACCCGATCAAGTAAACACAGAGACTTATATTGGTTACAAACTGTATGGCCGTGGCAGGCTTCTTGCTAACTGTTCTTATAGCTTAAATTAATCCATTTCTATAAGTCTGTACCTTGCCACACGGCTCGTGGCTTACCGGCATCTTCACATGCTGTTTGTCATCGTGGCGGCTGGCAGTGTCTCTCTGACTCAGCCTTCCACTTCCCAGCTTTATTCTCCTCCTTGTCCTGCCTACACTTCCTGCCTAGCCAATGGCCAATCAGTGTTTTATTTATTGACTAATCAGCAACACATTTGACATACAGAACATCCCACAGCACTTCCCTTTTCTTTTTTTTCAAAAAGGAAGGTTTTAACCTTAACAAATTAAAATTACATATAATTTGGGAATTTGGGCGTAGCTTCTCTTACTACTTCCTGCTGGAGGGGGGCGCTGCAGCTTATGGGGATACAAAGAAAATTTTTGGATTATGGAATAGTCCATGAGGGTGTATCGTCTGAGCCAGTTGCCTTCAAACCATTCTGGAGGTTGGATCATCTGGGCCATGGTGTCATCGGAGACCTTTCAGGGGGTCTTGGCTGGTCAAACCTGATGTATCTTAATCTGGAACAAATCCATAGCCTCTGGCTTTCTGTGGGAACAAAAGCAGAGTCTCCTTTCCAAAGTAACATATCCTTATATCCAAATTTTGAAGTCAAGGTACCTTTAAAATATACATATTGGCATAACTCAACAGCTTTTACAATCAAATGTTTTTCTGCAGTTAAAAGTCCCAAAGACAACACAATGCAGATTCTCTGTGTAATATCCATTTTTACGTGGCTTATTTTTTATACTACCTTTACTGTCTCTTTAAAGACTTTATTTTTTAAAACTATGTTTCTATAACTCTATATATCATCTTTTTTGTCTCTTTCAAGCCTACGTATCTTTTACACACATTGTAAACTATTACATCTGAATCTGTCTTATTGTGACTCTATTGCCTTAAACTGCAGCAGCTGTGACTGCTGGCTCCTCCCACCTCAGCTTCCCAACATGGCTACGTTTACCACCAGCTCTGGGAGCTATCGTGGGTCTATGCTTTTATCCAAGCAGCGTGTAGTCCAGAAACCTTTTTTTTTTTTTGGTTTTGTTTTGTTTTGTATTAACAAAGTCTAAATCCACCATGCAGCTTAATGTGCCACTTGCAGAGGCCTCATTCCTGCCATACAGCATGTCGAGCATGCACACCAGGAACCCACAAGTAGCTCAAACCAGCAGCTGCTGCTCATTTGAGAGAGACAATTTGGAACTGTTTTTAGCTCCATTTTAGAATCTTTTTTTTTTCAGTTTTTAGGTGGAAACTCTTGCCACCACGTTGGACGCCATTTGTAGCTTGAGTTTTCCTGCCTGGCCCACAGTCAGGACAAATCTCTCACCTGCCAGTCCCACAGCCGCTCAAACCCGATCAAGTAAACACAGAGACTTATATTGGTTACAAACTGTATGGCCGTGGCAGGCTTCTTGCTAACTGTTCTTATAGCTTAAATTAATCCATTTCTATAAGTCTGTACCTTGCCACACGGCTCGTGGCTTACCGGCATCTTCACATGCTGTTTGTCATCGTGGCGGCTGGCAGTGTCTCTCTGACTCAGCCTTCCACTTCCCAGCTTTATTCTCCTCCTTGTCCTGCCTACACTTCCTGCCTAGCCAATGGCCAATCAGTGTTTTATTTATTGACTAATCAGCAACACATTTGACATACAGAACATCCCACAGCACTTAGGGCTCAAACTCAGGTCATGCCAAGCACAGGGGTGTGTGTGTGTGTGTGTGTGTGTGTGTGTGTGTGTGTGTGTGTGTGTGTGTGTAAAACTTGGGTGTCATTTCTGGGAGCCATCCACCTTGTTTTGTGAGATAGAGTCACTCCCTGGGACTCACTGATCAGCCTTGGCTGTCCAGTGAGGCCCAGGGCATCTACTTGTCTCTGCTTGCCCAGCACTGGGGCACTGTGTTCTTTTATTTTCCTGGGGGTTCTAGGGATGGAACTCAGCTTCTCTATTTGTATAGCATGCACTCTACTGACAGACTCGTCTACTTTGCTCTTGGCGGAGGAATTCTTGACATAAATCATTGATGTTTGTGGATGCAACCCCTCTTTTCCTTCTTCTCTCCCTTAGACTAAAAATATTTTGGATTTGAACTAGACACTCCCTCCCTTCTCTCTAACTTCCCCTACTGATTCCAAAGAAAATGAAAACATTTCTCTTTGTTTCTCAGATCAACACTTATGGAGCTGAATGTTTCAGAATCCCGAGATGTGACTTCTTCCTCCGACTCTGACACTGTGGTTCAGGAGATTGTCCCACCCAGCTGTTACTGTAAAAAGGGAAAGCCTTCTACTGACTACAGCATGAACATTGGGGTGACACCCAAGATACCACGTTCAGCCACTGACAGAATAAAGGTCACTCCATTGGAATTGCTTCAGGTTATGGACTTAATGGGATTAATCCCAGAATCACAGTCGGAGCTGATAGACTCTGTGGGGTTTTCCCCAGAGCCGCCAAATCAAGCAGAAACAGTGAGGATAACTCCTCAGCCATCAAATCAAGTAACTGAAAGAATAAAAGGAACCCATCATCAGCATCAAACCACGGAATTAAAGAGCATGGCCTCAAGACTGAGTCAAGTCACAGATAACCTGGAGGTAACTCCTGTAGCATTGTTTCACGTCACGGATTCCATGGAGATGATTGACAAATTAAGTCCACATGGCATAGAACCAGTAGGAGTAGCCCCACAGCCACAATACCAAGTCATGGAATCAGTGAAGATGGATACAGTGCATAACTATCAAGCCATAAGACCAGGAAGTATGAG